GAATTCAGTCAGGGGTGGAAAACCTGAAACTATCCTGAAGAATCTAGGCAAACCCAAATTGTGGAACATTCTATTAAAAACAAAGCTGGCCTGTATTGTTCCAGAACATCAGTGCTGTGAAAGACAAAGGAAGCTGAGAGATCGTTCAAGACTGAGACATGACAGCTGAATGTACTTTGTGGTCCTGGCCTGGAATGAAATGCTATAAAGGACATTTTTTTTTACGTCAATTGACAGAATTGGAACATTGGAATTATATCAATGCTAAATTTTATAAATTTTCTAACTCTGCTGTTAGATAATATTCTTGTCCTTTGAAAATACATGCTAAGTAGAAGGAGCAAAGGACATGATAGATGTAGACTATAGAAAAATAATTCAGAAAAAGAGTGTGCCCTATAAAGAAAAAGGGATTGGGGGTGGGGGTGGGGACAGGGGAGAGAAAATGTGAAGGGATGAAGGAATTCCCTGTACTATTCCTGTCACTTTTCTGCAAGTTTGAAGTTATTTCAAAATAAAAAGTTAAAAAGAAAGTATCTCAATAAAGGCCCATCAATACTTGCAGGAAGGGAGATTGTCCCTTTAAGGGACAGCCTCTCGATAGGCCCTGGAGGAGTATTGTGCATAATGATTAAGGACTTGTGGTGCTATGAGGACTGACTCATGATTTTGAGTGTGTGTGTGTTGCGGGGTGGGGGGGAGAATCAGGGAATTTGCCTATAAGGAATTTCCTATAAGCTAAACTTGGAGTCAGTTAGGGTGGAGTTACTAGGTGAAGCAGTCAGGAAGGGCATTCCTGGTGGAGGAAACCGTGTGTAAAACAGCTGGAGCATAGAGTCAGAGGGTCAACAAGGCAAAGTCAGGCAGGGTTACCCAGTACCAGGCAGTGAGTTCTGAGCTTTAGCTTCAGTACAAGAGCCAATGGTTGAAAGAGCTGATTTTCAGGTTGGGGAATGACTTAAAGGAAAACCTTAAATGCTTTTCACAGACACTGCTCCTATCTAAGTCTTAATCTATTCCACCTGGAGGTGGGCTTCCTAGATAGGGGGGTTATTTGGGTCTCCATTTTTCCATCATTGCCATCCGCCCGTGAGGCAGAAATGGACCTTTGCTGCCTCTTTGTGTCCTTCCTTTAGTGGCCGAGGGCTGGGTCTCTCTGAGTTCAACCTCTTATTAGTGTGATTACCCTCCTAAGTCATGAGCTGCCCAAAGCCAGCAGTTGCCATCGCGGTGCCATCTCCATGAGTTAGTAGAAAGGTTTATGAGGCCAGAATAAATAGCACGAATCAAGAGGGAGAGACAGCTCCCCTTTCCTGCTTACATCTCTGTCCAAAAGGATACCAGAAGGGGCTGGATTCAGGAAAGGGGCAGAGGCAGGAGAACAACAAGAAAGAGGGGAGAGAGAAGGAGGGAAACAGGATGAACTGAGAGGATTGGAGAGAAGGAGGAAGCCAAGACCTAGAGGAACAGCTTTCCTGTTAGAGGTGAAGAGAGCTGATAGCTTATTTTCTATCACCATCTGGGCTGCCTCTGAGCACAACTAGGAAATTCGAACACGCAGGAATGTACCGTCTTTCTCTTGATGACCTACTAGCATTGAGTGATCTTGGGTAAGTCACCTGCCTTTCTGGGCAGCCAGCTTCTCTCTTTTCCCCCATACATAGGACCATGAATGGATGCATGGGCTGGTGAATTGCTCGGAACTTATCAGAGGAGATCTTTGGAAAAGTAATGAGTTTGATGCCACTTTTCTTATTTAAAAAGTGCAGTAATGCTTTCCAGTTACTAAAGTGTTACCTTGTGTGCTGATAAGTTACTACATTAATGGGCTAAGAATGTACTGAACTGCTGGGATGAATAAATTACCATTGAATGCTGGTTGTAATCACAGTTGAGGACTTTGGGGACCAATGCCTTTGCATCTGGTTATCTGCTTTGGGGCTGTAGCCAAAGACCCCCTACAAGATTTAATAAATTTGGCTCTGAAGACCAAGTTCTTCTTCCTTTTTACTAGCAGAATCAGAACTGCTATTATCACTCTAAGTATTTATGACAACCTTGGACATACTTGAGAATTTAAAGGAGAAGTCTTTAAATTACATGAAATTGGAAGCCAGGATGTCCAAGACTTGCTTTGCATTTTTATTCAGTGTTTATTTTGAGTTTGGGCTTAGGTAAGCATGTCTACCATTTCTGATAGCTACCATTTATAGAACACACTGTGTGCTAGGCACTGTGCTAAGCATTTTACTGGCATTATGTAATCTATTTCTCATAGCTCCTCCTGTGACATAGATAGCATGAGCTCCATCTCATAGATGTGGAAACTTTAGCCCAGAGAGGTAGAGTGACATGGCCAAGGTCACACAGCTGGGAATCTGTAGAGGTGGGATTCAGACGGGAGTATCTGCCCCTAGAGCCAGTGTCCTGACCTCCACATGTACTGTTGTTTTGGGGCAGCTGCAATCACAAACTCCATCCTCAGAGATATCCTGGGCTCATTCTGCAGGGGGTCCTCCACACTTCACCATGGGAGACTGCCCCTTTCTTCCCTGTTATTGGTATTTGATTTCCAGTTAACTCAGTGCACCCACTTGCTTTCACTTCTCTTACTAGGTAAAAGCTACTATGACTTCAAGAGTATCACAGATCTAGTTTGGACTTACCATGGCACCTTGGATGAGCCGTTTTTAAGTCTCACTCTCTCATTTTCCCTGTTTGCCAGCAGTTGGGAATAGGATTATTAGTAATCCTGTTAGTATAAAGCAATGTTCGTATTTCTGCCTAAAGATGGGGTGACATGATATCATCTATCGCTTTTGTGCCCTGGAGCTGAGTCGTAGCTAGACTGATCCACTCTGAACCAGCCCGTCTTTTGTGGGGAAGTTGCTCTTGCCTGTCTGAGAGCCTAAAGCACGGTCCCAGTCTTAATTTCCACGACGCCCCATTGCTCCAAAACTGTCGTCAATGCAGTTGTCTCTGCTTTAGATGATGACCTTGGCCCAGCTGTCCCTGGAGGACGGCAGCTTGATGACTAAGTCCTAAAGCTTGCTAGATGCCTCTCAGTATTTCACATGCCTGTGCTGATTGGACAAACCCAGTCTAGGCCTTAGGACTTGGTTGGCCTCAAGGGTCCTGAACATCACGTTTCCAAGTGTCTGTGGTGGTGATTTATTTTTCTGACTTTTTCAGCAAATGAGAAGATTGAAGACATCAAATGGCTGTCCGAAGAACAGATCGCAAATGGTAAGTGGTACAGGGGTAGAGAGTGCTGGTGTCGTGTTAGCCCTGCCTCTGAATGATATTGACCATCTTGAAAACATTCACGCCATAAGCTTTACTCTGGGGGATTATATTAATAAACTAACAGCCATTTCCAAGTAGCCACGGTCTGCTCTTCTGACATTTGTTGGCATTTACTGCAAAATGGCTGTGATTTTTATGTAGATGGTAAGACAGCAGCAACGAAATATGGTGCTTGCTCTTAGGAACAAACTGTGCAGAACTGGTGCAAACATATGCTTGTTTAGAACTTGGACTGTTCTGACTTGCTCTGGTTCCTTAAAGACCCACAGCAATTTCTGTTTGTGTATGAAGCTGAGGCCTGGATGAGGCGGTGGTATCTCGCTACTCAGAAATGAAGGCATGTGGTCTGATTCCCTTTAAAGGTTAGAACAATGTGAAATCAGAACTGTGACGGGAAATGAATTATATGCAGATCATTCTCAACGTAACCTTGACAAGTGATATTCCCTCTGCTGTGATGTGCTTGCTTAAGCTCTGATATTAAAGCTTTTTTTAAAGAATCTTTTAAAATCTATTCTTTGCTTGTTGCATGTTCTGCATGTAACCATTGAATTAAAATTCATCATCACTGTCGAGTTGAGAAAACATTAAATTGTGATGCTCTGAGTGCTTAGCTTTTCCCTCAAACATGGATATTTACACAAAGGATGTATATTATCAGAGTCTGTTAATAATGCTAATGCCTGTTTAATATGAAGGTAGCAACTTAAGGACAACTCTCCGCTCGCCACCCCCCCCCCCCCGCCCCCCAGACATTAATTTGCTTCTAGAAATCTAAAAAAAAAAGGATAATTTGTTTTCTAACCTCACCTCACTCCAGTTGAGTAGGCACAATTTGATAGTCTCATTCCAGAATGCACTAAAATGACTTGGGTGCACTATCTAATTTCCTGAATTGTTATTATCCCAATGAGTTGGACAGATAGCCTGTTCAGTCAACTTTTTTTTCATGTACACAGCTTTTCATAATAGAGAGGGTGAGTGTGTGTGTGTGTGTGTGTGTGTGTGTGTGTGGTGGAGAAAAGTCACTTTTCAGAGTACATTCTGAAACATATTTCTTTGTTTTATTGTCCCATTGGAGATTGTTTCTTTTCGTTTGATCCAGAGAGCAACCAGTCCTTACATAGGAAAGTGTGGCTGCTTTGACTTTTGGAAAAGCGTGGCTGCTATTTTTGCTAGAGCTACTGCAGCTGTCTAGTGTATTAATAATTGAGAAAATTTGGAGGCTAGAAGACTTAATTTTAGTGCAGGCATTTTACGCATGCAGTTATATCTTCACATGGAAGAGATGCAGTATTTCCTCCTGGGGTAGATGTCAATGCCTGCATCCCAGCTCAGGCTAATGCGTGTGTAGAACTGACATTTGAAGGTAGTGAACCTTTTATTCTATTGGGAACATTTGTATTTTCTGCACCTTCTACTGGAGGTGTTGTCTGTTGTAAAGTCCACTTTCAAACTTATAAAATAAGATTCTCAGCCCAGGTTCTTTTGTAAAAATTCAGTTGTATATGTTAATATCTTATTTATAAACTATCCTAGTACCAGTGCAATTTTGTGGTTTCTCCATAACTCTTTCAGCTGTGGAAGTGCTGTTTTGTTTTATGGACTTTTTTTTAGAATGCAAGGATATAAAAATTCTATAATTGCCTGTGGTGATGAGTTCCAGCTTAGGGGCAGGGAGGCAGACGTGGTCTGGTGGCAAACGTAGCAGAGAACACAGTTCAGCTACAGGATGCGAGTCCAGGAAGATGTAAGAACCCCCACCACAGTCATTCCACTCTGTAGGAAATGAGAAGGATGATGATAAGGACAACAGGGCCATTGTCCTTTCCCCTATATTACAAAACAGTGACAAATTCATAAGGCAGAACTGGCCTGGGGCACACGGGAAGTTCTTATAGACAAGCCTGGTGTTGTTCTGGCTAATAGGACACGTGTGTGTGTGTGTGTGTGTGTGTGTGTGTGTGTGTATGTGTGTGTGAGAGAGAGAGAGAGAGAGAGAGAGCATATAGAGTGGAGCATTTCTATTCTTGGGAAGCACAATTTGAGAATATAGCATAGTGGATGGGCCACCGTTTCTAGATTCCTAGGTTAATTTAGGCCTTTTTTAGAGTGGCTAATGATAAAGACGTGTTGTTTGCTGAATGTTGCTTGTTTGGAGGAGTCCAGAGGAAAAGGTATGTGGAGAGCATCGTGCTGATAAAAGGAAGGTGACGCACAATGAGTTGAGAAGGTGGGGAGTGTACCTGTTGGGAGAGTAACTGTCAGTCCCTTGAAAATAATCAGCATGGAGTTAATGTGCTCACTCTCTAAGAAAACAGAGCATCTTCAGGGCCCTTTAATGGAGCCAAGGAAAAGCAATTTCATCCCAGAGCAGGAAAAATGGGTGTTATTCCAGTTACAAGAGGGGAAATTCACTTCATCAGCTTACCGGTGGGGAGGAATGTGAGCTTTGATTTTGTAGTGGGAGGCACAAGCCTGCACCTCTGCTCCAAACCTCTCACTTAACCTCCTCCTCCTGACGCACCAGAGCCCAGGCTCTGTTCCCTGGTCTGACTCCTGCACTCCAGGCTCTGCTTCGAGTCCTGCTCTGTATCCAGACCATGGGGACGTAAAAGCAGAGAGTTGTGGCATGTGGACTAGATTCCAGGCGTCTCAGTGCACAACCCTGGGCATGACATTGCATACTTTTAGCCAGTCAATTGACAAACATTCACAGAGTGCCAGCGAATGCCAGGCACTGGGCTAGGCCGAGGGAATACCCTTGGTGAACAACATGTGATTCCTGCCCTCAGGGAACTCAGTGATGAGTAGGCAGGAGACCAGAGGACAACGAAAACAACGGGACAGTGCAGCTGTTCCCACAGGCTCCTGTGCGGGGCACTGGGGCCCATTCCACCGCAGGCACTGGGGAGGTTTTAGCATAACTTCTAAGGGGCGAGTCTCAAAGGCAAGAGGGTTTGCCACAGCAGGGTGATGGGTGGACAAGCATTCCCATTTCTGGAGAATCAATTTCCCTGAGGGTGTCACAGACCTTGCTGGAGAAGGTTTTGCAATATCTTTTTAATGATCCTCCCCAGTGCTATGAGCTGTGTCTGGTGACATTCTCCCTGCCTCCCAGCAACATCAACCCTTTGTCATGTTGCATCCAAGGTGAGGGCTGAGGCATGGACGAGCCCAGAGTACAACAGACCCCACAGGCATGGTGGTCTTTTCAGACCCAGCACAAGCCTGCATTCATCCCTGCTCCACAAATTGCCACAGCTCATAGATCAACCCCCATTGGACCCGGGAGCAAAGTCTTCAACAGGAAAATAACCATCATCAGCTCCTGTGGGTAGGAGTTGAACCAGGGGATCTGGAAGAGGAAACCCCTACCTGGTGGGAAATGGTGGTTAATATTTTTAACATCAGCTCTAATGTGCCTCCACACAGTGCTTTCAGGATTACCCACTGGATCCTCCCAACTCTGCTGTGGCCGGCATGGCACTCCCCACTTTGGGGTGAGAAGATTGGAATGCCGGGTGGCGGAGGGCTGTTCCCGGGCAGAGGCAGAGCTAGGATCATTGGCATCTGTAACTCTCGAGCGCCCACCTCCCAGCCCTTGTGAAATAGGACTGTGACCCTGACCGAAGGGCAGAGGCGTGCAGTGACTTCCCTCTTCCCAACAAGCTTGGTCTCAGCTTATGTCCTTTGCCCTGTTTCAATCTGACCTAGATTCTTTGGGCGCCAAATTCTTGGAGATGGAACTGCAGAAACAACATTCCCCTCTCCTGCCCCTTCCCTGCTCCAAATCAGTCCTTTTGGCCTTTAATAAGTTTGTGTGTGCGTCAGAGCTGGTTAACTGTTTTGTCTGTTTAGCGTTGCCATGGCAACCTAGGGGCATCCTTTTGGCTTTCCAGTGGTGTGTTCAGCAGAGTTATGTGTTCGTTTGGAAGGAGAAACATTGCTTGGCACTCGGCCAGCCAGTGCTGGGGCGGCCTGCCTTGCTCCTGGAACCCATGGAGCTCCGGGACATGGGCTCACTTTGGGGCCTAGGGATGGCCACTGCAGGGGGTGGTTTTCTTTTTAAATCACTATTATTCTGAGTGGCTTGGCTTTCTGCTGTTGATTGGGAGAGGTGCAACGTTAGCAAGGCCTGCTGGCCCTTTCCGTGGAAAGCCCCAGGCCTGTTTTCCCCTCTGGCTGGCTGACCTCAGGCCTGGAGTCATCTGGGGCCTCCTGCCCACCTGCTTCCTCCTGGGCTCTCAGGGAGTCCTCCTGCCTCCTTCCCTCCGTGCATCCAGATTGGGGGCCAGCCCGGGCTTGAGAGCCAGACAGGCCAAGTGGGAGTCCCTTCTCTGCTAGTCTGTGCCTTGAGCTAATTATTTAACCTTTGGAGCCTCTATTTCCTGCCCTATATGTGGGATTGATAATAATATGTAGCTCATAAAGGTTTTGTGAGGACTAATGAGGCAATGAAAATGATAATAATGGTTAGTGATAATTACAATGCTACAATATAACTAAAGCCTATAGAGTGTTGGTTCTGTGGCAGGTGCCATTCTAAGTGCTTTACATATACCCTCTTGGTTCATCCTCCCAACAGCCCTTTTAGGTAAGTGTCCTTATTATCCCCATTTTCCTAGCATAGGGTCAGCACTCAGCCCATGGCAGTTTCCATGGTGACGATGGTCTTAGTAGTCATTCATTTGTTTGGGGACATGGAACCTCTTAAAAATTTGAGAAGAGTCACCAGCCCTCTCCTCCCCATGTGGCACATACCCCAGAATTTTGCACACAGCCCGAGCAGATCACGATTCCAGAGGCCAGCCCATGTGTCCCCTGGGGCTCCATAGACCCCTAAGTTCAGGGCTCCCGCTGCTGAAGGCATGGCTCTGCTCCCCACCCCGTCCTTTCAGGGGCTCCTGTGGAAAATGCCAGCACCCGAGTTCTCAAGA